GGCCTCGCGCGGCACACGGCGGCCCGGAACGGCCGCCGTCCGCGCCTCCGTTCGCACGTCACTCCGCCAATCGTCATCGCCTCGATCGGATCAGGAATCCTACATCAACTCGTTCGCCCCGTTTCATCAACTGTCAGACGACTCCACGCGTGTGGCCGGGTGCTCCGTCCGCCGGCCACATCCAGCTACTTTGCACGCGATCCTGACATGCACGCACATGTGATGTGCATCTACATACACCGTACACATGTAGTGGATGGGACGTGGACGTCTCGAGCTAAACCCGAGCTGCATGTCGCCGCTCCATGCACGAGCACGCTAGCGTGCTTGCGATCGTGGATGTTGGGCTTGGTCATGCTACTTCGTTGGCATATGGTGCGTGGCCTTCTGCTGTCGTCTGCGCATCTTCCTCCTCGTGAGCAATTGGACTGATCATCTGAGTGTCCGCGATCCACTTCATCAGCGCCGCCCGATCGACCTGGTCCGTTGATTGTGCACGCCTTCACGGGTTCCGTGAAGATCATCTTCGAGTACAGCGCATCTCTTCACCGATTGAGCATCGGGCTGCCGTTGCATCGCCTCGTCGGACCGCAACGCCGCCGCCCTGTGGTTCTCCCGCGGCTGCATCGACCCGCGTGTTGCCGCTGCGTCGTCCCTTTGGGCCGTAGTGCCGCAGCCTGCGGTCTACCGCCGCCCCGAGTACGTCCGTTCCAGGCCGTCTTCGTGGCAGTACCGACCCTCGCGCTGCCACTGCGTCGCCCCATCGGGCCGTAGCGAGCGTGGCACGCTGTCTCCGTCGCCGCCCGAGGCCGTCCCCACGGCTCCACCGACTCGCGCGCAGCCGTTGCGTCTCCCATTCGGGCCGCAGCGCCACGGCCCGCGGTCCCCGCCGTCACCCCGAGGTTTTTCTGCCGTCGCCCCGACCTGCCCGCCGCCACTGCGTCGCCCCTTCGGATCGTCGCGTCACGGCCCACGGTCCACCACCGTCCCCGCGCGTCGACCTCCCGTGGCATGCGCCGTACCGTCTTCCTTGGCGCGGAAACGCCACCGTTCACGTCAGTCTTTGTCACGCTGTCAGAGTTCTTCGCCTACTTCGAGCATCGCCGCCGCGCTTCTAACCTAGCCGCCGCTGCTCCCGCCACTCTTCTTTCGCTACCGCCGCCGCTAGCCCCGTAGCCGCCGCCACCCGTCCACCTCCTTCATCTTCGTCCAGCACCGACCTGTCGCCAGCGTCGCTGTCATCTACCCCGACCACTTCTTCTACTCCGACAACCGCGGGTGACATCGTCGCCGCGCCGATTGGCGCCACAACCATCGTCGAGTCCTTCTCTGCTGGCTTCTCCGACTTCTTCGACATGGTGGATAGCTCGTGCAAGTCCCACTATACGCATGTTCGGTGTTGGTAACACCGCCACGTGCCTTCATCCACGACGTGTTCTCGGGCCTGGCAAGCCTGGTGCGGCGCTTCGTCAACTTCGTCTTCGTTCGTCTACGCATGCCCGATGTTGACAACACCGATGCGTGCCTTCATCTATGATGTGTCCCCGGGGGTGGAAACCCCGGCACGACGCGTCGTCAACAACATCTTCTTCCCGGTGCACCATTACTTCTACACCACCGTGCCCATGCTCACTCGGCACCCCCTAGCGCCCGCGGCTCCACGACGACTTTCTCGACACCAGCCACCCCGACTCGGCCTCGACCACGGCATTCTTCGCACGGCTACCTCGACCACGGCTCCACCACCCACGCTCTCGGCTACCTTGACAACGACACAAAGGGCTACCGCCTGCTTGAGCAATCTCGTCGGTTTCCACTCCAGCCACGACTCCGCGATGCGTCGACCGTTACGACTGTGAGGGGGTGTCCGTCGGATTGTCTTTGAATTCTTCTCCAGTCTCAATGTTTGCGTCGCTACTGTTGTGACTGCGGGGGTATTGAGTATCGTGATTAGTTAGGAAACATAAGATAGACTAGGAATTATTCTGGCTTGTCTTGTACT